AGGTGGGCGATGTCCCAGCCAGGGCACGTTGGAGGTGGCCGAGCCCCATCTCCCCGCAGGTGCTCAGCAAAGCGCGACTGTGGCCAACCCGGCGTCTGGCGCATCCCCGGACCTGCTGCCGCACTTCCAGCTGGAGCCGGAGGATGTCTACATTGTGAAGAACAAGGCAGTGAGCCTGGCCTGCCGTGCCACCCCTGCCACCCAGATCTACTTCAAGTGCAATGGCGAGTGGGTGCACCAAGGTGACCACGTTACGCAGCACAGCACTGACCGCAGCACTGGTGAGCACCGGCAGGAGGGACGGTGCCAGCCCCGCTCCTGGGAAGCCACCTGTGCCACTCTTGACGGGGCTTGCGTGGGGCTGGGGCCATGGGGACAGCTCCCAGCTCACCAGTGTGATGTGCTACTCTCGCTTCCCAGGGCTGCCAGTGATGGAAGTGCGCATTGAGGTCACCCGCCAGCAAGTGGAGAAGATCTTTGGGCTGGAGGAGTACTGGTGCCAGTGCGTGGCCTGGAGCTCCTCCGGCACCACCAAGAGCCAGAAAGCCTTCGTGCGCATCGCCTGTGAGTGTCTGCGGGTGCCTGGATGGAGTRCAGGGCACTGCCCCGGGCCCCCATCTCACCCCAGTGCTTCCCCAGATCTGCGCAAGAACTTCGAGCAGGAGCCGACGGCCAGGGAGGTCTCCATTGAGCAGGGCATCGTGCTGCCATGCCGCCCKCCCGAGGGCATCCCTCCTGCAGAGGTGGGTCCCCGGAGCTGGGCAGGGCAGGAGGGGGCTGAAGATACCCTCACCCAGGGGGATGCTGTGTGTGCTCCCTGGCAGGCACCCAGCGATGTCCCTGTGCCCTGCAGGTGGAGTGGCTGCGCAATGAGGAGCTGGTGGACCCGGCACTGGACGCCAACGTCTACGTGACGCCGGAGCACAGCCTGGTGCTGCGTCAGGCCCGCCTGGCCGACACCGCCAACTACACCTGCGTGGCTAAAAACATCGTGGCCCGTCGCCGCAGCGCCTCTGCTGCCATCATCGTCTACGGTACGGCCCCTCCACCACTCCCTGCCACCTTGCCCCAGTGTCACCCTCTCTGTCCTGTCCCTCCCTGCATCCCCTTAGCGGCAGGGCGCTGACAGGTCCCTCTCCACCCAGTGAACGGCGGCTGGTCGACGTGGACGCAGTGGTCAGGCTGCAGCACCAGCTGTGGACGGGGCTGGCAGAAGCGGAGCCGGACGTGCACCAACCCCACGCCCCTCAATGGGGGTGCTTTCTGTGAGGGCCAAAATGTGCAGAAAACCGCCTGCACCACCCTCTGCCCAGGTACCCGCCCTGCTCGGGGCACCGCCACCGCCCCGTCGTGCCGATGCTGCACTCCCCACTGCGCCCATCACAGTCCCTGTCCCCACAGCTGTCTTGTCCTCCAATTCCCCTGTGTGTCCGTCTCTGCCAGCCCCGGGGCAGGGAAGGGGGGTGGCAGCAGGGTGCTGACCCCAAGCTGTGTCTGCAGTGGACGGCGCCTGGTCAGAGTGGAGCAAGTGGTCGGAGTGCGGGGCCGAATGCACCCACTGGCGCAGCCGGGAGTGCTCGGAGCCAGCGCCGCGCAATGGAGGCCGCGACTGCCACGGCCCCGAGCTGGACACCCGCAACTGCACCTCTGAGCTCTGCACCCACGGTGAGTACAGCGGGGATGGCAGGGCTGTCCCCTGGGAGAGGRGAYGGGGTGTGGCCGTGTGTGCTGATCSCTGCCCCACACAGCTGCCCCCGGTGCAGAGGACGTAGCGCTGTATGTGGGGCTGGTGGCCGTGGCCGTGTGCCTGGTGCTGCTGCTGCTGGTGGGGGTGCTGGTGTACTGCCGCAAGAAGGGGGGCCTGGACGCTGATGTGGCCGATTCCTCCATCCTCACCGCTGGCTTCCAGCCCGTCAGCATCAAACCCAGCAAGGCTGGTGAGTGAGTGTTGCTGGGACAGTGCACCCACAACAGGACATGATATCGCTTGGCCCTGCAGGTGGCCATAACTCTCAGGGGTTCCCTGGGCAGGGGCTGTCTGCTACAGGGCATCCCTGGGTGGGTTTCTGTGCCCTGTGAAGCCCCTGGTCTTGAGTGGAGATTCTTTGCTTTATGGGATCCCTGACTTAGGTACAGGGACTGTGTATTTTAAAGAGTCCCTGACTGTGGGGTCAGTGCTCTGAGGCACATAGGGTCAGAGCTCCAGGGGTCCTCACTATGGGGCAGGGATTGTGTACCCCATGCTCTCTGGGGCCGACTGTGCCTTTGCACTGCTGGTGGGGACCCCCTGTTCCTGCCTTGCCCCAGCGCCACGGTCGCTTGCTCTGTGCTGCAGACAACCCCAGCCTGCTCACCATCCAGCCAGACCTCAGCACCACCACCATGACCTACCAGGGCTCGCTCTGCCCACGCCAGGACGGCCCTGCCAAGCTCCAGCTGCCCAACGGGCACCTGCTGAGCCCGCTGGGTGCTGGGCGGCACACGCTGCACCACAGCTCTCCTGCYGCCGAGGGTGCCGACTTCGTGGCYCGGCTCTCCACCCAGAGCTATTTCCGCTCGCTGCCCCGTGGCACCAACAACATGGCCTACGGCACCTTCAACTTCCTGGGAGGGCGGCTTATGATCCCCAACACAGGTACAGCGGGCTGGGGGTTCCAGAGCACTGCCCAGGGCTGGCAGGGTCCTCGTGRGGCTCACCCTCTGCCTACACCCCCATTTCCACCCAGGGATCAGCCTGCTCATCCCACCTGATGCCATCCCGCGGGGGAAGATCTACGAGGTCTACCTGACCCTGCACAAGCAGGAGGAGGTGAGGTAGGTTGGTAGGGCTGCTGGGGCACGGGGCTGTTGGAGGGGGGTCTGTCCTGACTCCGCTGTTCCCATCACTGCCCCAGGCTGCCTCTGGCCGGCTGCCAGACGCTGCTGAGCCCCATCGTCAGCTGTGGCCCCCCCGGGGTCCTYCTCACCCGCCCCGCCATCCTGGCCATGGGCCACTGCGTGGAAGCCAGCGCTGAGAACTGGAGCATCCGGCTGAAGAAGCAGTCGTGCGAGGGCACGTGGGAGGTGAGCGGGGGTGAGGGGTTTCAGGGATGGAGGAGGGAGGGCCGCGGCTGAGGTGCATCTCTGCCCGGGTGCCGCAGGACGTGCTGCAGCTGGGCGCTGAGCCGTGCACGGAGCTCTACTACTGCCAGCTGGAAGCGCAGGCTTGCTACGTGTTCACGGAGCAGCTGGGGCGCTTCGCCCTGGTCGGCGAGTCCCTCAGCATGGCGGCCTCCAAGCGCCTCAAGCTGGTCCTGTTCGCGCCGGCCGCCTGCCCCTCGCTCGAGTACAACATCCGCGTCTACTGCCTCAGCGACACCCAGGATGTGCTCAAGGTACCGGGGTGCCCATCCCGGCTCSGAGCGAGAGCTGCGCTCCCGGTGCGCGGTATCTCTGTCCTGACYGCTGCTTGTGCCGGCAGGAGGTGATCCAGCTGGAGAAGCAGCTGGGTGGGCAGCTGATCGGAGCCCCCCGGGTGCTGCACTTCAAGGACAGTTACCACAACCTGCGCCTCTCCATCCACGACATGCCCAGCTCCCTCTGGAAGAGCAAGCTCCTCGCCAGCTACCAGGTGAGGAGTCCGGCCGGTCAATTGGGATGGAGATGGAGGTGTAGGGGGTGTCCCTGCCACTCTGACACCCCCAGCTCTGTCACCTCCACTGCAGGAGATCCCCTTCTACCACATCTGGAGCGGGCTGCAGCCCTTCCTGCACTGCACCTTCACCCTGGAGCGCCTGAGCACCAGCACCTGCGAGCTGGCCTGCAAGATCTGGGTCTGGCAGGTGGAGGGAGACGGGCAGAGCTTCACCGTCAACTTCAACATCGCCAAGGTGAGGTGGGGAGGTGCACTCCTGGGGGCAGCCATAGGATTGCCTCACATCCTCTCCCTCCCCACTGATGCTCTCCCCTAGGACACGAGGTTTTCAGACTGGCTGGTCCCCGATGAGGTGGGCACTCCAGCTCTGGTGGGCCCCAGTGCCTTCAAGATCCCCTTCCTCATCCGCCAAAAGATCATCAGCAGCCTGGAYCCGCCAGGCACACGGGGAGCAGACTGGAGGACACTGGCACAGAAGCTCAACCTTGACAGGTAACGAGGCTGAGGACAGTGCAGGGTGGGGATGGTTCTGGGGAACAGGGGACGGGGGTTCTGGCCTCATCCTGCACCTATGGATGGATGCTGGAATGCTGTGGGGTCCTAGTAGCGGGATGCTGAACAAGGTGAGGCTACCAGGGGGGCTGGCACTGGGATGTGGAGCCCTTCCTGTGCCCTGACATGGTCCCTCTGTCCCCTTCCAGCCATCTCAGCTTCTTCGCCTCGAAGGCCAGCCCCACAGCCATGATCCTCAACCTGTGGGAAGCGCGGCAYTTCCCCAATGGCAACCTCTCGCAGCTGGCTGCCGCCGTGGCCGAGGTCGGCAAGCAGGACGGTGCCCTCTTCTCYGAGGCTGAGTGCTGAGCATGGTGGCTCCCAGGGGACCACCACCATGGGGCTGGGAGGGCCCTGGCTGGCCCACCAGGCTCCTATTGCCCCACAGCGCACGGAGAGGGCTGCCTGGCCCCCTTGGGAAGGCAGGATCTCCCTGCCCCACGGCAGTCAGGCCCCTCCAGCACTGTGGCKGCGGGACCCAGCGCAGCCCCGGGGGTCCCAGAGCCCCGCGGTGGGGACTGGGGGGGCACGGGGTGTGCGTCGTGCGTGCGGTGCCGTCGTGCTGTCTGCGTGTGGGGCCRGGCGGCCCCAGGCCCCGTGCCGTGTTGTGTAAAGCCCGTTTTTTTAATTCTGTATTAAGTGCATTCAAGTATTTACACTTGGCCTTATGTACATAGCGGTGCCGCGGGCGGGGGGTCTGCCGGACGTGAATGTAAATAAATTCTATATATATTGCTACGTGGGGCTGTGCCCGGCCATGCGCTGCCCCACGCCCTTCACGATCCCCACCAAAAATCAGAGGTGTGGAGCACAGAGCTTTATTGGGGTGATGGCTATGGCCCAGTGCGAGTGGCCACGGCTGCCACGAGTGCGGCCCCTTTCCCCGAGCCGTCCTCCGACAGCAGGAAGGTGACATTGCAGTTGGGTGCCAGCTCCTTCAGTGTCTTCTGGAGGTTTTGGGAGAAGCTAGGCAGGACAGGAGGGGAGGGTGAGGACTGATGCCCTGCTCCACGCACACTGTGCCTCCCACCACAGACCCATGGATCCCCAGTGGGTGCCTGCCAGCCCTGGCCCCGCTCACCATGGGTGCAGCTTGTACAAGGTGCCATCCACCCCGACGGTGACAGACATGGTGTCCAGTCCCCGGTTCTCCCGCATCTTCTCCACCACAGCAGCCAAGCCCGCAGCACAGAGCTGGGCTGCCCGCAGGGAAACAGCCTGGCACACCTCCCGCAGCAGCACGCTGTCCTCAAAGCTGGCATCGAGCTCCAGTTCCTGCAGGATGGCCCGTATCTGCCGCAGGGCGAGCCCATTGCTGCTCCGGACCAGTGCCACCGTTAGCAGCAGAGTCCCCATCTCCATCACTGTCCCCAACCCTTAAGCTGGAGGTRGCATCGCCCTGCCTGTGCCACATCAGTGCAGCCTGGCTCCTCTCCTGGGGTTCTGATACCCCCACCCCAGGTTCAGGGAACCCACTGAAGCCCAACACTCACAGCTCGATGGTAGAGAGGAACTTGGTCTGGAAGATGTTCTTKGTCTGGAGTGTGGTGCAATGTCTGCCTTGGAACAAGAGCTGTCTCTGTGTCATTTCGAGCAGGATCTGACGCACGATCTCACCCAGGTACATGCCACTGACGAGCTTCTCAAACCTACCCGAGGCACAGCCTTAGCTGGGCACAGTTGCCYGCTCCCAGTGCCCTCACCCCAGCACCCTCACCCACCTCTGCTTGCCCGGGTTGATGGTGCTCTCATCCACCAGCTTGTCAAACTGGGTGAAGATATGGTCTAGGCAGCCGTTGTCCCCAAAGGCCCCCCACTCCATGTTGATGCACATGCGGCCCTGGTCGCCCTCCACAGTGCCCACRTTCTTCATCTCCTCCATGTAACAGGCGTTGGTCCCTGTTCCTGTGGGCCCCATGCTGGTGTCACCCCCATCACAGCTCTGGCAGAGGCATGTGGCCATGCCACAGTGGGTAGAGGGTTGTGAGGGGATGGGGAACCTCCTGGATGCAGAGGGGCTCCTCACCCACGATGAGGCCAATTTCACATTTGGGGTCATCATAACCACAGGACATCATGGTTCCCACTGTGTCGTTGACCAGAGCCACCACCTTCAGAGCTGTGTGCTGCCAAACAGGAGACGGGGACATGTGGCCTGGTGGCACCCAGACAGCTCCTAGGGCTGACACTACCTGTGTGCAGRGKGTGCCCTGGGGACAGGGACRRGCYACCMGACCTTCCCTACCTGTTTGCGCTCAGCAGCCTGCCTCAGCAGAAGGACAACGTCCTTTCCCACGCAGTCTGAGGCACTGAAGCCTTTGGTCCAGGTCAGCAGCAATGCCTGCAAGAGTGGCAAGAGCAGGGGCCCAGAAGCTGCCTTGCACCATTCTGGGATCCTTCCCACTACCCTGCTGCTGGAGCCATCCCCTCACCTTATCCAGGCCCACTTGCTGGCAGGGGAACGAGAAGGTGAAGCCAAGAGGCAGCAGCTGCAGCATCATGTTCTGCTTCCTCTGGAAGTCCATGATGCACTCCACGATATGGTCAAAGAGCTGTGGATAGCAGTCATGGTCAGCATGGCCTGGGCTGGGGCAATGCCCACGCCCTCACCCCAGCCCTGGGTCACAGGTCCTTGGTCTCACCGCCTCGCCAGTGCCCTGCATGATGGGAGGTGGGATGACGTAGATCTCGCTGGCCATGCTGATGCCCTCCTCTGTCACACGCACCAGCAGCACGCGGAAATTGGTCCCCCCTAGGTCCAGCGCCAGAAAGTCTCCTCGCTCTGTGAGAAGCCAGCACAGTGCATTAGCAGAACCATGGCTTCCTTGGCACCCCACTGCCAGTGTCCCTGTCCCTTACCAGTGCCATCAGGTGTGTTACAAACGTAGGAGGGCAGCATGCGGACAGAGGCACTGGCATGKGTTGCCTTACCCAGGCCCCGCTCCATCTCCTGCCTCATCAGTGCCTGGACTTTTTCCAGGTCGGGGAGGGTGAGCCGTAGCGGGGCCAGCAACTCGTTCACTTCTTGGCGCTGGGCTGCTAAGCGCAAGGCCACTGCTGTCACCATGGCTGCCCCCCGTCCAGAGCCATCTCTTGAGGGCACGATGGTGGGTATGCACTCGGGGGACAGTAGCCTTGCCACACTCAGCAGGATCTCCTCAAACCTGCCAGAGGATGAGGAAGATAGCGTGGGCTGGGTGTGAGGCATCCCACTGGGGTTGCACCRCACTGGGACCCCTGTGTTCCTCATCACCTGTGGTAGCCCTCGTACAATTCTCCTTCCATGCCCACGTTGACCATCAGCTGCTCCATCTCCCGTGTTTGGCACATGTAGCTGAGGATGGCAGCCAGCCCGGTGGCGTGGAGCGTGGCAGCACGGCCCACCACCGCCCGGCAGATCTGCTGCACCCGGCCGCAGTCCCGCTCGCTTGGCTGCAGCCCCAGACCCTCCAGAACCCTCCTCACTTCGGTTGTGCTGTCCTCGTTGCTGCAAGGCAGATCACAGCCTTGCAGCACTTGCAGGGACACCCATCCATCACGCCCCATCCTCCCACCCACGGCAGCTCCCGGCCCCCAGACACTCACTTGATGATGTCCAGAATGTGCTGGGTTGTGAAGACTCCCTTCTCCTTCAGGACAGAAGCATCGGTCCCAGTGAAGAGAGCTTTCTCAGCGGTCAGGCCGATGAGTGCRTGCCGGGCAATCTCCCCCAGGTACAAGGTGCCCACCAGCTTCTCAAACCTGCGTGCAGCCCACATGGGAGTCAGCCATGCCTCCCTGGCACTCCTTGGCCCTTTAAGAGCACCCAAGAGCATTGCAGGGGAATGTGTGCTCTTGTTGGTAGGGCCTGACATGCTCAGGGATAGACAGGCAGCCCTGAAGGCCCTGTCCTTTCTGTGCAGGGAAGAGCACCTCTTCTCCCCAGGATTGGAAGATTCCTCATCCACGCTTTCGTCGTAGGGTGTGATGATGTCATTCAAGGAGCCATCGTCCCCAAAGCAGCCCCACTCAGTGTTGACACACATCCGCCCGCTGGTCTCTTCTGCCGTCTCCACCAGGTAYGCCTCGGCCATGAAGCAACAGTTGGAGCCCTTATCTGTGGAAGTGATGGGGCTGAGCACAGGGGTGGACCCCCAACACCCACCACCACAGCACACGGGGGGCCCGAGTCTCACCCGCGATCACGGCAACCTCACAGGGTCTCCCCTCCGTGCTGCAGGTCATCATGGTGCCCACAGTGTCATTAATCAAGGCAACAACTTCAATGTGGGAGGAGGACGACTGGTCAGGAGTAGAGGGTCTCCAGCCCCTCCACCACCGGCCACCCTCTTCATTGCTCCCCSCCCCCATTGTCTGCTTATTGATGGCCGCCTGCAGGAGCTGCACAACGTCCTTCCCCACCACGCCACTGCAGCTGTAGCCCTTGGACCAGGAGATGAGTTCTGCCTGTGGAGAGCACACAGCACAGCCAGTGACCTCTGGCACCAGGATGGTTTCTTTCCCCACTGCTGCTGTGCTGTGGTCACAGCCTGGGACAGGGTTGTCCTTCTCACCTTGTTCAGCTGCGTCTGCTGGCAGGTGAAGGGGAAGACAAAGGCCAGGGGAAGGCGTCCCTCAGAGCCATTGGTCTCAGGGCTGGTGGTCTCCGCCAGGAACTGGGTCACGCATTGTGCAATGAAGTCAAAGAGCTGCAAAGTCATGACTGGGGGTAAGGGCTGCTCACCTTACCCAGYACCCAGGCTGTGAGAGGCAGCCTGGAGCTCCAGCACTAGCCCAGAGCCCTGCCAAGCCTCCGTGGTGCTGGGCAGCCCAGCACCAGCCCTTTGCCATGGCATTCTCATACCGCTTCCCCCTCGCCCTCCCTGATGCCCTCTGGCAAGTCGAAGATCTTGTACATCATTTGGGGACTCATGTTGCCATCTCCATAGAGGGTCACCAGCAGGGTCCGGACCTGGGTCTGGCACAGCTCCACCACCAGAAAGYTGCCCTTCTCTATGGGGGAACAGAGGCAGTGTCAGGCAGAGACCTTCCCTGTGGCAGATTCCCTAAAATCTGTTCCTTGCCCTGTCCCAGAGACAGTCACTCATCCTTAGGGGAGGCTCCTGAGATCCTGAGGCTCTCAGAGAGGCCAAGGGAACAAGCTTCTGGCTACTGCCCCTGCACTGGGGACTGGCAGAGAAACTTATGGACCCCATAACTGACCCAAGAGCAGCTTACCCCTCCCTGCACCCCCCCAGGGCCTACTCCAGTGAGGTGCGCAGGGTTGCAGGTAGCAGAACATCCTCAGGCTGGTTTGCCTTACCAGTGCCGTTGGGAGTGGAGCAGATGTAGGTGGGCAGCATCCGCACTTTGGCCTGTGWGTGTGTCTGGAGGCTCAGMCCCTTGCACATGTCCTGCATCATGTGGCCCTTCATAATATGCAGCCTCTCCAGAGGGACGCTGAGTGATCGCAGGGCTCGTTGTATCTGGGGATGGTGCATTAGGGCAGAGGTGCAGCAGCAAGGGACAGGGAATGCCTGGAGCAGGGGTGGGCCTTACCGGTGTGGTGGTAGAACTATGATGGTCTTGGCCCCGCAGCTGCTCCGCTGACATCCTGCATGGAGGGAGGTGGCGTGTCATCCCCTGAGCTCCAGGACAGGACAAATGCCTGCCCGTGCCAAGGCACACAGTGGGGTGGGGGGCCTGTGCCAAGYTCTGCCTCCCACCTGGTGTCTACTTCCATGCTCCATGAGGGGTCCATATTTTCATCCTTCTGCATTATCTTCACGCTGCCTCTGCGGTCGTGGAGGAGGCAGCTCTGGCCCATCACAGTCATAGGGCCGAGCATAGGGGCATTGGAAGAAGAGGCTCCCCACCACCTGCAAGAGGCGAGAGGCTGATGTCTTTCTCCTGCAACAACCCTGCAAGCCTGGGGGATGTGGGGAGCCTGCACGGCCCCATCCCCGGCCCCACCGCGATCTCCGCAGGCCAGGAGCCGCTCACTGGYCCACATACCGGCCGCGCCCCTCCTCCTGGCCCCTCTGTTCTGCTCTGTCCGGCCCGGCTAACCGACTGGCTTGCGATTTGGGCCGGGTGCCGCGACTGCCCATGGCAGAGGGGCCGGGGCCGATGTGTGGAGCGGGCGGGGGCCGCGGCCGATGTACGGAGCCGCCGGGGCCGGTGTGTGGAGCGGGCGGGGGCCGCGGCCGATGTA